CACACCTCTGATGTCAGAAAACATGCGTTGCAATGAACATACTGAGTACCAAGGAGGAGACACAAAAATAGGAGATGGTCATTCAGAGCTTACTATCAATTGGGAGTTTGGATGCACGTGAAAAAATGCACAATTCAAAGTCATTTTGGAAAGTGCCCACACGCGAATGGCTGTATCTCCTTAATTTGACCTTGAAGTCTCTTTCAACCTCAATATTGTTTCAGTTTATAAATATTCTAAGGTGCACGAGCTGTAAATTTATAAGAAGCAAGATGTGGTTCCCACCTCCACATGGCCTCAAAGACCCTGGGTTTCAGACCCTGCTTCTGGGAGGGTCTGCCACCTTGACCAGATGAAATGCTGGCATGGCAGTGAGAACTGGGTGCCAGCCATGGTTAGCTCATATAGCATTTGAGTCCCCAAGCCAAAATGAAGTTTAGGTTGGCCAACTTTTGCATGTTCTTTGGGAAATTAAGAAGCTTCCCTGCACCACATGCTCTGGACACAGCACTCAGCAGTTTCTTCCCTGACATTGTATGCTTTGTTTTTAGCTTTTTCCAAGTGGAAGGAATACCACAGAGGCTCCTCCTGTAACTGGGAAAAGACTTTTTCTATTTCTTGCTGGTCAGAACCTTCCAGGGAAACCTCTGAATTCCAATACATTTGTGGCTTCAAAAGTGCTAAAAAGCAGGAGACTGTAAGACTTCTGAGTAGGCAGTACAGTTGCCTGTGCACCCAAGGGTGATTTGAAGACCACTGGGAAGGCTCCCTGGCCAGAAGTACCTCCCCATCTCAGAGAAAGATTCCTTCTTGTGGGACCTGGAAGCATTTCTGTACTCAGAGGCCCTTGAAAGTGATAGAAGTTTAGAATCCTAGAGTCCATGAGGTAGAAGGGAGCTTAGGGATGATTTGGCCCATCCCCCTCATTTCACAGTTCAGAGACAGGACTTGATTTTCCTGGGGCCAGGACAGTGACCAAGCCAGGCTCTTTCTAAATATTACCAGGACTCATTCAGCCATATCAGGCTAGCTGCTTCATCCACGAGCAAAGAATCATTTGCTAACTATGAATGTGAACTTTGGGAGGATGACTCCAAGGGAGAGTAGCCTGGTGGGACTAAGGCATCAGGAAGAAGGAGGGCCCAAGAAGATAAGGGGACACCAGTCACAGTTCTTGCATCTCCCCTGGAAATATGGAGGGAGGCCAAGAACTGTCCCACTGCTCCTGACTCTTCTGCCCAGGGGCAGGTGTAGTGAGAAACTGACCGCATTGTGCTGGAGGTTTGTCTTGTCTGTGCAGCTGCCATAACAAAGTACCACAGGCTGAGTGCCTTAAACCACAGAAACATATTTTCTTTCAAGTTCTGGAGACTACAAGTCCAAGAACAAGGTGTCAGAAAATTTGGTTTCTAGTGAGGTCTGTCTTCCTGGTTTGCCAGGGACGGAGGCAGGGAGAAAGGAAGGAAGAGAAGGAGAGAGGGAGGGGAAAAAGGAAGGGAGGGAGGGGAAAAAGGAAGGGAGAGAGGGAAAGATGGAGAAGACGGGTAAGTTCACTGTCTTGATTTGGTGATGGTTTTGTAGGTGTAACACATGTCAGAACCCATCACTTGTACACCCTAAGTATATTCGGGGCCCCAGCCTTTTGACCTCATTTAACCTTAATTACCTGCTTAAAGTCCCTGTCTCCAAATACAGTCAAAAGGAGGGGTAGGGCTTCAACATACGAATTTTGAGAGGACACAGTTCAGTCCCCAGCAGTGTTGTCATTTTACCCTGGGGAGGATCTCAAGGTATTAGTAAGCCATTCATCTTGGCCGTGATGAGACTTTTTGCAAGAACTGGATTTGCCATTCCAGGCACTTCTACTTTCAGTGGACAGATCTTTCAGCTTCATGGGACACAAAATGTTATGCACCCCCCGTCAGGAAGCCACCCCAGCCAGCTTGCCCTCCAGTGAGCCAGGGGCTCCTCTTCCCTGCACCCACAGCACCTGCGGAGAGAGCCTACATCTCATCCCATTCATATGTCTGTCTCCAGCACCCTGCTCGGTGCCCTTAACCTTTAGACATTTGATAAATGTTTGAGAGATGAACAAAATGGTCTCCTAAAACTGTTGGTACCAAGGCAGACATACAGGGAAGCTAATGAAGCTTAAGCATCAGGGCCCCTCATTTTCATGAGGACCTATCTAAGCAATTTCAAAGTCACAATTTGGTTTTCTTTTCCTTAAAGAGATTGTTAGTCCCACCCTCCCTCCAAAAACAAAACAAAACAAAACAAGACAAAACAAAAACTATATAAATTCTGGCTCCATAAAACCTGGGTATGGCCCTGGGTTACTGAGGTAGGGTGTGGCTCTCTACCATATTTAATATTTCTTCCCTAACCTGTTTGACCCTGGAGGGGAGGGATGCACCTCAAATACATTTCTCTTTCCTGAGGCTTTTTTTTTTTTTTTTTTCCGGTACGCGGGCCTCTCACCGTTGTGGCCTCTCCCGTTGCGGAGCACAGGCTCCGGACGCGCAGGCTCAGCGGCCATGGCTCACGGGCCCAGCCGCTCCGCGGCACGTGGGATCTTCCCGGACCGGGGCACGAACCTGCGTGCCCTGCATCGGCAGGCGGACTCTCAACCACTGCGCCACCAGGGAAGCCCCCCTGAGGCTATTTTTTGAGAGATATAATCTTTTCACTAAGCCATCTTTTATTATTATTATTTAAATTTTAAAATTTTTATTTTTATGCAATTAAGTTACACTCCATTTACAGTTATTACAAAAGATTGGCTATATTCCCCATATTGTATCCTTGTTGCCTACCTTACACCCGATAGTTTGTACCTCCAACTCCCCTACCTCTATATTTCCCCTCTCCTCCCCCTCCCCACTGGTAACCACCAGTTTGTTCTCTATATCTGTGTCTACTAAGCCATCTTTTGATCAAAGGAAATGAAAATAGCGGAGCTGTGTGCCTGGCATCATGGAATACACTGACTTCCAAAACTCATTAATTAAAGACAAAATAACATGCCCAAGCATGACTCCAGGAGAGTTTTCTTCCCACCAACTATTACTCAGAGCCTTTATAGAAAGGAGAAGCACAGCCTTGTGGGGCAGCCCTCGCACCCTGAGTTCGTTTAGGAGCTTAGATGTCTGCCTGGCTTCAGAGGGCAGGAGTCCTCACAGCCACTCAGTGGAAAGTCTAGCCAACCTGACCTCTCATTACCGTCTCATGTTAGCCCACTTCTCTCTTTGCCTCCAGTGTCACTGCCATGCTCTCTCGCCTGGTTATTGCACTAACTGGTTTTCCTCCTTCTGCTCTTGCCCTCTTCAATTCATCCTTCATACGATAGCCGATAGCCGGAGAGAACTTTTCAGCAATTCCAAGCTGATCATAGCTCTCCTGCTTGAATCCCTCGGTGGCTCCCTATTCTACTCAAGATAAAGCTCAGATTCCGTGGTGTTATATGCCAAGCCCTCAGGACCTGGCTGCTGTTTTACCTTTCCCTCCTGTCTCCCCACACCTGGCTGGCATTTCAGGGCTCATCACACTGAGTTACTTGTAATTCCTGGAAGGTGCGGAGCTCGCTCCACCATCTGGGTTTTCCCGCTCTGCCTAGAGGCTTCTCTCCTACGTTGCCCTGACTCGTCTCCTCCACTTTCAGTTTAGATTAGTGTTATCCACCGAGATATTACATGAGCTACCTATTTATTTAATTATAAAATTTCTAGGAGCCATGTTTTTATTTATTTATTTTTGTGTCAAAATTCATTTTTATGAATGAATTTTATGAATGAAAAATGAATTCATTTTTATTAATAGAGAATAGTGTTTGGTGGCCAGGACCTCTTATTCCAGTTGTTATACTTGAAGTTGCTAATAAAAAAAAAAAGAATTTAAAATCACCACTTAATAATCCTGTTTTAACTAAGACAATGAAGCTGTAACTTAAAAAAAAGTATTCAGCACCATTTGCTCATAGAACTTTCAGACTTTGTTCTTAAAGTTTCTGGAACTTTCCCGTCTGTAAAGTACAGGAATTGCTGAGCTACATGAGGAACCCTCTCTGGGACAACCAACGAGAAGTTAAGCAATCGGTATATATTCAGCCTGGTAACTTGGACTGTACAACAATCCCCTCCTCTCCACTCTGGCTCAGGAGGGACATGCTTCCAAGCTCTGAGGTATGACGAGTCCGACTGTTATTAGCTGGAAAGACCAGTTCTAACAGCAAATAACAGTAAATCTCTGGCACAGAGACTACTGGCCTTAATGTTCTGTGATTTTAGGAAATTCTGTAAATAGCTTGGCTTTACTTCAATTTACTCAGAAATGAAACATGTTTAATAAGGTTAAACTACTCTGCTAGAGTAAGTGTCTGTTGGTTTAGTGTCCTTATAAAATACATACATAATACATGTAGGTAAATCATAGTCTTAAAGTATACTTAGAATACTGCATTATTGAAACCAAAGTCTAACAAAATGACTACAGTTAGAAGCAGCTAATGAAACTAAATCCAAAGTTATGACAAGGGAGACTCATTCTTACTTGAAGCTGTGTCACTTAGAGAATTAAAGCCATTCAAGGCGAGGTGAAGGTGGCACCTTTAGATAATTCCAACCAGGGCCAGAAATTAGCATTTCTAAATATTTCAGAAAAGTCCATAGAAGTGTTTCAAAGACTTTTATGCAAAAGAATGTCTGTCTGTCTTTCTGCATCAGTGAGTAGTAGTGCCCATCAGAATTTCCTAATAACACAAAGACAAAAGCAAGTCCATACACTTGATCAGATGTCCAAGGAATGGGAGGTGGACTATTAGGTCACCCTTAGAGCTTCTGCTGGCTTTTTACTATATGCTGTTCACCAGTGTGAGTCAGGTGGACTTTTGTGAGAGAATAGTGTTTGGTGGCCAGGACCTCTTTTGGGCGTTTCTTGCTAAGTGGAATACACAACAGATAAGGGAATAGGGGAGGTAATACAGGGAAGCTACTCTTTCCAGCTCAGAAGGAGTTGATGAAGCCCATATATGCATTCAAGAAGCCCATGGGATCCCCTAGCTGTGGATGGTGGCTAATGTGGTCATCCAGAATCGACACTGTGGACCGCGGCAGCGTTTCCCTGTACAGCTCCAAAAACTCTGGATAGGGATTCACTGGATCCAGTGGCCCATAGATAAGATGAATGGGAATAGATACAGAGGCAAGAGCTCCCACCCAGCGTCTTCTAAACTTTTTCCTTTGACTGATGTACTGCAAGAGACTGTCAATAACCAAGTTCCCGTCATTGTTGCGTATCCCTGCCCACATGTCCCACAGTTCACTCTCAGAGGGTCGGGTGTATGGCCCAAAGACTGGGGTGAGACCTCGAGAGAATACGAAGTTCATCAGTCGCGTGAGGATGGGTGACAGCATGCCTCCATCTTTGAGAAGCTTTTGGAGAAGGAGAGGACGGTGAGTCTCAGGAAATATACCTCCATTCGACAGACAGAGACTCCTGATGGTAAGCCGACCAGATCGATTCTGCTTGAACCTATAGAGCAGCTCCTGAGCAACAATATCCCCATAGTCGTGAGACAACAGGTTGATCCTATGGTTCTGGAGCCCCAGATGCCGCAAAAGAGCTTCCACGATGCTGGCCTGCTCGAATATGGAATAGTGATGTGGTCTCGGTTTGTCACTGAAGCCAAAGCCTAGGAAATCAAGGGCAATCACTCGATGAAACCTGAGGGTCAGACCTTCCCAAATCTTGTACCAGTCATAGCTGGATGTTGGAAAGCTGTGTAAAAGCACAACTATCTCTGGACTTCCAACCACACCCACAGAGTCTTGGTAGAAGATACGCAGTCCCTTGTAGGTAAAAAATTTGCCTGATGACTTCCATGAGTGAAGAGCAGGGGAAAGTTGGGGGGGCGGGATGGGCAGATAGGCTGCAAGCAGGGGCACAGCCAACAGCCCCACCTGGACCCACCACTCGCTCATCCACATTTCTGTTCAGCATTGTCCTGGAGGCCCTAAGTTCCCATAGCCAATGTGAATCTATTTCCCTGCACTTTCAAAGAAGCTTCAGCAAAGCCCCAACACCAAGAAGCCCATTATAGCAGGATTTCCTTCACCAGATAACTCAGCACCACAAATCAGGAGCCATGTTTTTAAAAGTAAAAAGCACATGAGCACTACAGCACAACAATATCTTACGTGATGCCATGGCAAAGGAATGTAATCCTACCAAAACCATAAAGTTGTGTTTAATGGAAAAATATTTCACACTGGTTCAGTTTTAAACTCATGAAAATTACAAGTTCTGTTCCTCAGTCATACTAGTCACATTTCAAGTGCTTAATCACCCGTTGTGGCTGGTGACCACCGTACGGACATCATAGGTTTAGTTTTCACTTTCTTGGACATGCCCAGTCTGCACTGGGTGCCCTCCCAGATGCTACTACAGTATTTTGTGGTTAACCCGACCATAATGCTTATCACACTGTGATAGAGTTTTCTGCTTACTTGTCTCTGTTTTTCATTAGACTCTAACCTTCTTGACAGTTAGGACTTTGTCTTACAAATCTTTGTATTTTCAACATTGGACAATCCTGGCTAAGATAGTTGCTCAGTTTGTTTGAAGGTGATTGAATACCTGAACAGCAGCAATCTTCTCTGGGCTTTCAAGGCACTATAAAATCTAGTCCCTGACTTGCGCTTGACTTTGTCTCCTACCAACCTCCCCTCGATCACCCTGTGGCAGCCACACCAGCTCCTTATCATTCATTGAATGCTCTGTGTATGTGCTAACCTCAGGCCCTCAGCACAATGTTCTCTGTGCCTAGAAAGCCCCTCCCCTGGAGAGCCTGTCGACTTTGCTTGCTCCCTCATTGCATTTAGGTATCTCTTTACAGCTGCCTTCCCTGGCCAACCTTTTGAAAATAAGCCCCATTCTGCCAGTCATTTTCTACCACTTTATTTTTCATCATGGTGCCCATTACCACCTGACTCTCCATACTAGAATTAATTACTATTTACTTATAATTATTTACTTTATATTTGCTTATATAATTTACTTATGATTATTAATTACTCCTAGAACACAAGTTTCATGAGAATAGGCACTTTTCTGTGATGTCCAGTGCTGTTTTTCCAGAACCTAGAACTGTCCCTGGCACCTAATAGGTGCTCATTAAATATTTATTGACTGCAAGAAGGTTAGACCATCTATCATAGGGGAGCTTAGGGAAATGGAAAAGGTAATAAGCACTGAGAAGCAGAGTTCCAGAAATTTCAGCACTTCTCCCACTTCAAATTTTAAAATGTCCAAAAGGCTTGAAAGTGACCCAAATTTCAGCTTTTCTTTGACTTATGGTGCAAAAGTTGCTGAAGGAGAAAAAAGGATAATTGTGAGTTTTAGGAGGTAAACTCTTCATGAGTGAGTCCAGTTCTCTGTCCCCAGAACAAGGGGACCCCTGATCCTCTAAAGGCAGAGGGGTTGGAGGGATGGATTGTAGCTGTTGGAAGCTTCCACGGCAGCTGGTAAGGGACACCATCAGTTGGACTGATGCAGGGACTCCAGCAGGTTGCTTGGGACAGAAAGGGGCCAGGTAGGAAAGATCCTGAGAAAAGCAGTCAGACCGATGCTGGGCTGCCGGAGTCCTGAGTGGCAGCGAGTCAGAGCAGAAATAAGAGGCGGAGACAAAAATCTCGGTCTGAGTCTGCATACTGACCGCTTTGGAACACGACTCAGTGACGTGGGGCAAGCCACTCAATCAATGCTTTGTCCTCACTTGTGAAAGAGAGATAATTTGTATTTCACAGGGTTGTTGGGAAGGTGATATGACATGATATATATGAAGGTGCTCTATAAGCTGAGAAATACAAGTTTTTAGCGCTGTAGGTATTTTCCCATGAGTTTTCCTGTCTGCCCACACTACACATTCAATCATTGAATTTCCTGATCATATATAACTCAGAACTCTTGTAAACTTTTATTTTGTTATAAAATTCAGCCCTTTCCTCTTGAATGTCCCTCAGGGTTCAGAAAAACAAATATCAGTCTGGCTTGGAGAACCACCATAGTTTGTGACTTAAGGAGCTATATTTTAGCATTTCACCAAATACTGTTTTCCATTGATTTCATATGTGAATTTCTTATATCCCCAGATAGACTGTAAGCTGCCTGATGCTGAGAACACAGACTTCAGAGTCATTTACTCTTGGGTTTAAATCTTGGCTTTGCTACTTACTTGCTGTGTAGGACTTTGGGTAGGGTTACTTAATCTGTTAAAGCATTAGTCTTCTCATCCACAATATTGACATTATAATAATATCATTTGTAAAGTGTTTTTGTGAGAACTGAAGGAGATAATGCATCTAAAGTTCTAAACTCAATACCTAGTACGTAGTAAGAGCCTAATCAATATTCTGAACAATAGTTGCCAGCACAGCACTTGGCACATATTAGTACTGGGTTTTCTCAAAATACTTAACTGAGAACTGGAAGTGAAGCAAAGAAAGCAAACAATAATTCAAGACCAGTTTTGGTTTTAATCTTCTAGCCTATCAACAGAAACTGAAAGGGTTATGGCTTCCTGACCCAGGCAGAGACTTAAACAGTAATATTAAGGCAATTTATTTTCTTGGGTTGACAACTAATAAATCTCACTTGAAATATGATAGTGGGTTTGGGTCAAGGAAGGGGATATTGGCAATATTAGTACTGAGATGTTGATGGAATGGTTGTGGGATATACGTATGAGGCAGCATATTTTCGAGGATATTTTCCAATTGCAAATCATCTGCCCCATTTCCAGACCATGCGTCTTGATTTTTGTTCAGAAATTTTGATGGACACAAATGTAGATGTGTTATTATACATCACCAAAAAAATGATTAGCACTGTGTTTGTTTGTTTGGCTATTTGTTTAATTTATCCACACAATGAAGAGTTTTTAAACTAATGAGCTCTGTACTAGGTTTTAGGAATCAAAGACAAGGCACAGATTTTAACCTCATATTCTGGTGCAGGAGACAGACACATAACCCATGGAATTAAAATGCTGTACAAAATTACATGGGGGTATATTTTCCACTATTTCTGTAAATTAAAAAAATAAGGTATACATTTTTATGTAGAATTAATTTTCATCTCAGTTTTTGGAAGACATTATGCTTCTCTATTCTGGCTTCCATTGTGATGTTGAGAAATCAGTTGTCAGTCTCAATATTCCTCCGTAGGTGATATCTTTTCGCTTTGACAGGTCTTAACATGTTCTCTTTGTTAATCTGTGGTTTTACTCCAATGTGTCTAGACATGTATTTATTTTACTAGGGATTCACTGTGATTTCTTAAGTTGAACACTTCTGTCCTTTATCTTTCTGGAAAATTATCAGCCATTAACCTTTTTTTAAGTTTTTAAAAAATTGTGGTAAAATATACATAACAAAATTTACTGTTTTAACCATTTTTAAGTGTACAATTCAGCAACATTAGGTGCATTCATATTGTCGTACCACCATCACCGCCATCTGTCTCCGGAACATTTTTTTATCTTCTAAAACTTTAATTCTGTACTCATTAAACACTAACTCTCCCTTACCCCAGTCCCTGGCAATCACCATTCTACTTTCTGTCTCTGTGAATTTGACTACAGTATTCTAGGTACCTTATGTAACTGGAATCAAACAGTATTTGTCCTTTCATGACTGTGTTATTTCACTAAACATAATTTCCTCAAGGTTCATTGGTATTATAGTACGTGTCTTTCCTTTCTAAGACTGAATAATATTTCATTGTATGAATATACCACATTCTGTTTATCCATTCATCGAGGTTAGCTTGTATTTCCATCTTTGGGCTATTGTGAATAATGCTGCTATGAACATGGGTATACCAATATCTGAGTCCCTGCTTTCAATTCCTTTGGCTATATAACCAGAAGTATCATACAATAATTCCATTTTTAATCTTTTGGAACCACAGTACTATTTTCCATAGTGACTGTATCATATTACATTCTTACCAGCAGTGTACAAAAGTTCCAATTTCTCCACATCCTCGTCAACACCTGTTATTTTCTGCTTGGTTTGGTTTGGTTTTGGTTTTCTTTTTTTGATAATAGCCATCTTACTGGGTGTAAAATGGTTTCTTATTGTGGTTTTGATTTGCATTTCCCTAATGATTAATGATATTGAGCATCTTCTCATGTGCTTTTTGATCATTTGTATATCTTCTTTGGAGAAATGTCTATTTGAGCCCTTTGCCCATTTTCTAATTGGGTTTTTTGTTGCTGTTGAGTTGTAGGTTCCTTATCTATTAATTCCTTATTAGATATATACCTTGCAAATATTTTCTCCCATTCCATGAGTTGCCTTTTTACTCCGTTAGTAGTATCCTTCGATGCACAAAAAGTTTTAAGTTTTGATATAGCCCAATTTTTTTTTCTTTTGTTACCTATGTCTTTTAAAATTTTTTTTGGCTGAAGCCTGTGGGATCTTAGTTCCCCAACCAGGGATTGAACCCTAGCCCCCTGCCATGGAAGCCTAACCCTGGAGTCCTAACCATTGGACTGCCAGGGAATTCCCTGTTACCTATGGTTTTGCTGTCATATCTAAGAAATCATTGCCCAATCGCAAGTTTTTCCTTATATTTTCTTCTAAGATTTTTATACTTTTAGTGCTTCCATTTAGGTTTTTATCCATTTTAAATTAATTTTTGTATATGGTATAAAACTTCATTTTTTGTTTTTTGCATGTGAATATCCAGTTTTCCAAACACTATTTGTTGAAAAGACCATTGTCTCTTTAAATATTGCCTCTCCTTTTTTCATTTCTAGTCTCTCTTTTGGAAAGCTAAATAGACAGATTTCTCATTTCATCTTCCATGTTTCTTATTTCTTAATCTTAGTTTCTTTTATCTTTGTAATATTAATTCAGTTTAATTTCTTCGGCTTTGTTTTTCAACTTACTAATTCTTCTTCTGGGTTAGTCTACTG